CTAATGGCGTTTGGCTCTTGTTCGACATAATTTTTAATTAAAATTAATGAGATTTGGGTTGCTTTTTATGATAAATTACATGTTTTTCTGTTAATAAAAACTGTGCTATTGCACTGCAGTTTAATCGTAATATTAGGTTTTTGTTTTTGTACTTCAGAAAATAGATGTAATTCTATGTACCATAAATCATACATAAATTTAAAATTAATTAAAATTTTGCTTACATGATATTTTGATAACTTATTAAAATTTCAAAGCAATAGTGTTAGTTTTTTGTTGTTTTTGTTTTTTCTTTTTCTTCAGCTCAAGTAGCAGCTAACAAGTTATTAAAAAAGAATTCAAAGAAGAAGCCCAAAGAGACCTCAACACCACAGGAATCTCCTCTTGCCCCTCCCCCTTCCTTCTCCTCCTCCTCTCAGTCTCAATGGCCTAACTTCACCAGTGGGAGACAGTCACATGAAACTGGCCCGGGGTCTAGTGGGCGGGGTTTAATTCCAGAGGCCCCTGTTGTTAAGAAGTTGATATTAATTCGTGGATTGCCAGGCAGTGGGAAATCAACATTAGCTAGGTAAGGGGGTGGTTAATTAATTAATTAATCAAATGGGTGGTGTTATTAAATTATTATTATTATTGATGTAATATCATTCAGGAGACATATTGATGTCCTTGATTCCTTGTGCTATGTAGGAATTAAGTTTCAGTTGTAAATTTTTATGATCTAACAGTATTAACTACGTATCATACGTATGCATGTAATTCTGTATGTCAACACTCAACAGTATACTGCTGTATTGGAGTAACAAAATTAGTATAATCATCCCATCCTTGTACCTTGTAAGTTAGTAGCTATCCAGCATACACAAGTAAAACAGGACCAGTTCTGAACTTTCTAGCAGGAAGACGTATAAGATCAATTATATAAGAATTAGTGAAAGGAATGAGTAATAGCAAGAGTTGACAGCCTTAAGGTCCCTATACACCAGGCAATGCTATTGCAGGCAATCTGTGGTTGCTTTGATCTTCAGGCAACACTGTTGCCTAGAATAGAAACATGTTCTATTCTAGGCAACACATTGCTTACAACATCAAAGTAACCACACATTGCCTGCAATAGAATTGCCTGCATGGTGTATAGGGGCCTTTAAGATCACCTTTTCTCACTTCTTATACATTTGTATTTTGTTGATTTTTGTCTTAAATAAGTAATACATATCTATAATAATAATACAGTATTTGTTGAGGATAATACATTTATATTCACTTTTCCCACTGGTTGCTATGTTATTCATTATGTACTATCATAACTTCCTTTAGTCACAAGATCTTTGAGTATATTTAAGGTTTCCCCACTTTTTGTGTCTAGCTGACCTTCTTTAGTCTTTCTCTCGTCCTTCCACCTTCTTCATTTTGTTTTGTTGTTTCATCTGGTCATTAGGACTCTCTCTCATCACTCATTCACTGCCTTCCCTTCTCCTCCTCCTCCTCTACTTTGTTTTACATTCTCAATCATTAATGTACATGTAAATTCACCTTTACTACTGGTTGTTATAATAAAGGAATGTACTATCATAACTTCCTGTAGTCACGAGACTATAGAATATTCCAAGAGGTCATCAGGGCTATCTTTCCCCAGGCTACTCTCATTCTCGTTTATTCCGACTTCTTCATTTTCTTATCTTTCGCTCTTGCTCTATCTTCATTTACTGTCTTCTACCTTTATCTCTCTTCATTTTTTGTTCTTGCTTTACGTACACAATTTTATTCTTTTCGTTAAATGGCAACCAAACCATCTTCATCTTCTTCTCCTGGTCTCCTCAAACTGGAGGAACAGCTCACCTGTCCTGTGTGTCTTGACCACTATACCAACCCTAAGACTTTACCTTGTCTACATTCATTCTGTGAGCACTGTCTGGAGGGATTAGCTCTTGATAAGAAGAATGAGACCTATTACCTCTCTTGTCCCACTTGTCGTCATTGTACAGAGTTACCAGAAGAAGGAGCAGGAGCCTTTCCTGTAGCATTTCATGTAAACAACCTCAAAGAGATATACAGTCTAATGAAGAAAGTAGCTGATCCTGAACAGGTCACCTGTGACAACTGTACTACAGCTAATGCCACTGGATACTGCAAAGACTGCAATCAATTCCTTTGTACAGAATGTATCTCTA